AAATAGATAAAAACTATAATTCAAAATTGTCACTCTACAATTATGTCCAATCAAATAGTCAGCACCTATGATCCAGTCAAGACAAAATACTAATACATGTTCATAAACTGGCCGTACAACCAAATCCTTAAGTGTTGTCCTCAGAACAAACTTTCTTTTTTTTAATATAAACAGCCTGAGAATTTTCCAAATATAAAAATTATACTTCATGTTTCTTAATTAATCCTCTTCGATTTGTCTTCCTCCTTTCACATTTAACTATAAACAGCATCTTCAATACTTGGCTTAAAGATGTCCTCTGGTAAAGATGCAATCTCATTGCTCACAAGTTGTATCTTCCACAATACACTAAAGCACAATTTGACAAACTTTGACACTTTTTAACAAGGATTTCTCTCTTCCAGCTTCCAATGGTCTGTTCCTTTCTATCTGAGATATCGCTGTGTGACCATTAAATGTTCATATTCTTTCAGTAGCCTGATCACAATTATCTATGTATTCATTTTAAAAATGGAAACTCTCCATCTCTCTCTAGCACTCCTTTTATTTTTCTGAACTCTCACCAGAAGAATTTTTTCATCTTTTTGATTAATACACATTTGTAATATATAATGAATACATTCATTTTGGGGAAGTGGTACACATACATATCGTATCATATTGTACCTTAATCCTTTTTATTTTCCCTTTCCATCCTTTTTTCTCCCTCCATTCCTAGATCTTCTTCTGATCTCCAAGAGATCTATCTCCATTTCCTATAATTTATCATTTATTTTGCCTTTAAATTATTTATAATTTGGATTCTAATATAAGAAAATATATGCAATATATGCAATTTATGCAAGAGAGAAATCCTTGTTAATCCAGTTTAGCCACCAATAACCACAAGTCAGCTATAGTGCCCCATGATCAAAACACCTGTCAAGTGTTCCACCTTTGAGTGCATGAGAGTTTGGGGAGGAAGTGGTATTCTAGATGTCAACCATAGCATTCTACCATTGATCTGTAAAATACTCATGTGCATCTCTATGCAAAATGCATTTAGTCCATCTCTAAAAGTGAGCAATGTCTTAATGGTTCCAAAACTGAAAAGTTCAAGTCCAGAGTTTTCTCCTCAGAGACTCACAATAAACTCTTAACTGTGAACTTTTTTTTTCTCTCTTTTTAAGACAAGGTCTCACTGTGTGGTTCAGGCTGGCTTTGGGCTCACTTTGTAGCCCAAGCTCGTTTCAAACTTTCAACTATCTGCCTGACTCAGCTTCTCAAGTGCTGGGATTACAGGAGTGCATCACCATGCCTGGCTTCTGTGGATCTTATAAGAAGGCAAAAAAAAGTTAAATATTTCCATCATACAATGGTGCAAAGTAAAAGTTTCCATTCAAAAATGAAAAAATGGGTGCATAAAAAGGGTGCATGGGAACCAAATCAAGATTTTTTAAAAACCCAGTAGGACAAACATTAAACCCTGTAGCACTATGTCAAGAATTGAAGACAAATTGTGGTGAGATGTGAACTCTAAAGGACTGGAGCAGCACTACCCCTGTGAAATTGCAGAATGGAGCTCTCATGACCTCTCTCTTAAGATAGGCTTTCTCATTACCTATAGGTTTTTCTCAAACTTTTCACATTGTTGCCTTTTCCAATTTCTTAAACTCTCTACTGCATTTTCAGATTCAAAATCCCTATTCTTTCAAGGATACAGACTTTCTTCTGAAAGCTGCTTAAATGCATATGTATCAACCACAGATTTTGCATTCCTTGTATCTATAAAGCCAACAACACATAGATGAAGCCAAGGTCTGCCACCAGATCAACCATTTGCTTGTTCTCCTTGGATTATGGCGGCAGATGCCTCTGGATACCTAGATTGCTGATTCCTATGAACTGAATTTTGGGAAACAAATTACCTAAGTGGCCTTATTCAAAAAGGGTGTCTGGAGGCTCTCTTCACAAAGTAGAGCTTGTGGTTTTGTACCCTTGAGTCTGATATAGTTGGAATCTTGTAGATTCTTGAGAAGCCCTCAAGGCACTGACTCACAGGAAATGGCTGGCTTCTTATTCTCCTTCCTGCAGCCCACAAATGACAACAACTAATGAGAAGAGGCTGGTGTCTGGTTGTCCTTCTCATGGCCCATGCATGGTGCCAACTCACAGGAAGTGACTAGATTCTTCTTTTCCTCCCTGTGGCCTGTGAATGGCACTGACTAACAGGAAGGGGATGACATTTGGTTGTCCTGACTCTCCCCTGCCTGCACATAACACTAAATTACTGGAAGTCCCAAACTTTTTAAATGAGATTTTTGTACCTGATTCTCACTATAAACCTGGTTGAGAGCCACAAGAAGATCCCATGACACAGTTGAATGTTAGAGTACCTTGAAATTTCCTCTTCCAGATTAGTCAGTGGTGCTTGATCTCAGTCTCTCATAGAATCCTATTGAATTGTGAAGCTCTGTAGACTCAGATCCTTCATGTCCTGAACAAAGAACTGGAGAAAACATGCCAAAAAATGGGAGCAAAGTTTTACATCTATTAAAGGTAGGGAAAGAAGTATGCTATGCAGAATGAGAACAATTCACTTGGAATGGCTTACAGTGGCCACTAGGTTAATGGCAGGGACTTTTATATCTCTCATTCTTCAGCCTCATGTCAGATATAGGTCATTCTATCAAACCCTGCTTAACTGCATACCAGATACTTTGAAGATTTCACTGTGTAATTTGATCCAGATACAGGGCTTGGAATCTGTGTTGTGCACTTAGGTCCTAGACCTTCATGATCAATTGATTATGTCCACTTGTTCAGTTGGTTGACTACACCCTAATTTCTTATCTCATCAGGACATGGCAAATATTAGAAAAATTTTCTTCCAGAGTGTAACATACATGGTCTTGAGTCCAATGACCAATAGAATTTTTGTTCCCAACTGAAACCTGATCTTGGCCTTCAGTGTACACATTTATATTAGTACTCTGCTTTTCTGAGCTCTGATCAGAATTTCTCATCAAGATTGGCTTAAAGCATTCTAAGTTTCCTGTACTCAACAACTCCAAATTCCTTCCAGAAACCAATTCCAAAGGTTTCTAAACCCATGATCAGGTATAGTCATGCCAAAAGCCCCACTCCTGGTACTAAACTCTTAGTTCCTTTCTTGTCACTAGGACACAATATCTAAAGTCCATAACTTGAAGGAGAAGTTTATTTTAGCTCAGAGTTTTTAAAGGATTCAGCCCATCATTATGTGGCTCCAAGATAGGAAGGAATAGTGGAAGGGCCTGGCACAGAAAAGCCACTTCATGGCAAAGAAAGAATAGTTAAGCTGAAAAATGATATATACCATTCCACTTTACGCCCTCCATGACTTACACCCAACTAGACTGCACCTCTCAACAACAGATCATCATAGTGTCCCTCATGATCCAATCACCTTCCAAAAGTTTTGCCTTTTGAGCACACGACAGTTCAGGGTGACATTCTAGGTCTAAATCATAATATGTGATAGTGAGTCTTTCTTAATGCACTTAACCTTAATCCCTTCAGGATGCCATATGCATAACTGAGGATGTTTGTATGTATTTGTGTGTGTATGTCCCTCCTCATCGACAAAGTCAGAAACAGCATATATCAAGATGTTAATAGTAGTTATCCAGGACTGAGGATATTGCTCAGTGGCACAACACCTGCCCGACAAGCGTGAGATCATGAGTTTCATCCCCAGTGCCAAAAAAAAAATAGTTATCTAACAGTAGTGACAATGTTTTTATTATTTTGATTTATATTTCATGACTTTTATGCCACAAACACATAATGCTTTGAACAATATGTTTAAATTATAGCCGTGATTTTAAAAGAGAAAGTTTTTTTCTTCACACAAGAAAATCCAATATTCTCTGCATGTTTTCTCCTGCATGGTAAGTGTAGAACAGCTTGCACCATTGAAAATTTCAAAGCTGAAAGGGATTTTAGAGATGATATAGTTCCTCATTCTCATATTATAGATGAAGAAATTCAGGCTTAAAGATGTTTAGTATTGCTCCCAGTAACAATTCACAGCAGCAGAGCAAGAAAATCACTTGTATTTCTTGGTTTTCAATCCAATGATTTTGTCATATGTAGGAAAAGCAGTGGCATACCCATTTAAGATTCTCCTGCATCTCCAATTTAATTCCATCCCAAACAAAATGAAAATGTGAATTGTTTTTGTCAATAGCAAAAGAATAGAGCCAGCAAAGCTTGAAAGTATAAAGCCAACCAATTTGGAAATATTGTCTTAAATCAATGGCCATCTCCCAGGGTATGATGAATGGATTTGCATTTGTAGCTTGCCACTTCTTGAACTAAACACTAGACTCTAAACTATAATCTTGCCTTTTATAACAATTTCCTCTGGTGAAATTGTTACAGATGCAGCTGAATTAGATAGAAATATTATCTGCACTCGGATAAGCCAAGGCCCTCAAAGGAGCCAGTGCAGAAGACCAGGTACCTTGCAACTGTGGGATAGAGACACCTCCCTCTGTGGGCTAGACCTCAATACAAAAGATAAAACAAATGGACCCACATCCTAAGGATAAATATCAGGGACTGATATTCTAAGTATGTATTGATCACGTTGAAGAAGCCAAAAGGACCCAGCTCCCTATAGGAAAAGGCCCTGTTCTGTGTTTATGCCCACTTACTACATGACTCTCTTCCCCATTTGTCCCAACTTAATCAATTTAATCTTAATCAATTATATTCAGAATCTTATTGGTTGACCAAAGTTCTCTCCCATTTCATGCCCACCTTGTAAGTTTCCATTTTTTATCACCTTAAACCCCCCTTGCCTTGTGTTTTTACTCTATGAAAATCTCTAGGAAAGGAAGGGTCCTTGGCAATCCACTCAGGATCCCTTCAGTTTCTCTCTGACAGAGATTTATTTCTCACAAAAATATATTCTGCTCTACATTATTCCTAAAATTCATTCTTCAGTTTTAAAAAAACACAAACTCAATAGAACATTTAGCAGGTTGAGAGTTTCTTTTCCCAATATCAAACCCATCCTATGATATGACCACCAATGACCTCCTCATCCTACCCCCAAAAAATAAAGAAAAAATACCACCGAAACTTTACTTATTTTCAGTGTCATTTTAAAATACAATATGTCTGTGCCTGGCTTATGGATTGCATTTTTCTTTTCACATTCTTTCGAACTGAGAGTGGAGTTCTAAAGAAAATACAATTGTATGATAACTCAATTTTAAAATTGTCTCCAAGTTGTTTCATGTTAAAAAAACAAATAAATGTGACAACATCTATGATGTAATTTGAGTTCCTCATGCCTGGGTTTCAGAAATGAGCAGTAACCTTGCTCTCGTGGAAGATCTGCTGAGTCTGACAACCTCCAAACCCACAAAATCACTTCCCTGCCTCCCATCAGTATTTCTGAAGTAGATATAGAAATTGAAAATAGGAACCAGAAACATTGGGTAAATTTGATGCCAAAATAGTTTTGCAGCATGAGTGAGAAAAAGGTTAGAGGTACAAAGAAGGAAGCTTTCTGAAAACAGAAGGTAATTAAGTCAGCTTTCAAATTGAGTTTTTCCTTTCCCACGTTTGAGATGGGACATCTTTCCCTTAGGCCTGCAGATGGTGCCTTGAGGGTGGGCTGTCACTGATCTCAGAAGGGCAAAACTGGAACTGAAACCCACAGGCCATGCACCTGTGGGATTGTTTCACTAATTCAGCCCTCCTTTCTTTTGAAGAGCCGCACCATCAAGTGTTACTGTGAGAAAGCCGTGCCAAATCTGGGGGCATTCTGCAAAGTCTTCTCAGTAATCTTTTTTTTTAAATCTGTTTTTAAGTCTCCACCAAGTTAATCCGGGACAGGTATGTTAATTCAGCCTTGAAGTTTCTTTGAAGGAAGTTTAACCATTAATTTACATTGTAGATTTTAGTTAACATCTTGTGTTCTCTAAAAAAAAAAAAAAAAAATAGTTAAAAGTAAAGTACCACCAATAACTATTCTGTCTTTCTTAGACAAATTCCATGTCCTTGATTTTTCCAGTTTTTATTCTCAGTGCAATTAAATCATGAACACATTGATAAAACCATCTTACCAATCACACAGAAATTGCAATTTTTTACCAGAGGGTACGTACAGGAGAACATTTTTCAACAATTTTATGAATAGCATAAATATTAGACTAGATATGTGGTGTGTGAAGGAAAGGTGCAGATAAAAGGAGAGCACCAAGAATTACTGAAATTAAAAAGCACATTTAGTCCTACTTGACAAAATAAAAAACATAGACACACAGAGGTCAGCTTGCTGATACAACTAAAATTATAAAGATTCCTATAAATACCTTTGCAATACGTGAAGCGCGTTAAATATTTAATTTAAGTGGTTAGTATTTAGCAATTATCATTCTAGCAGTTTAGGAGGACATGCTTTAAAAATGAGCACAGTCATTCATTTTGAGTAAGGCTCTTGGCTGGCAGTGAATCTAGATGACAGCTTTATTATTTAACAACAGTGGCTCTTTTCATAGTAGAAATTGCCCTTAATGCTAAGACCAACTGGGATCATAGGTGGGAAAAAAATGTTTTATTTCAATTCCAAATGTCTGTTGAGTACCTACTATTATGAGCTAGTCTCTAGTCCTGGGATGGCATACCATAGAAATATATGCAAAATTCAGTAAATCTAATAAGGGAGATATAACTAACTGAAACACAATGCAGAATAAAGAAAATGCCAAGTAGAATTACAAGGAAAGAGTATTTGAAACTCGGAAGGAAGAGCAAGATGACCAAGGAAATCTTCAAGAATTGTTCACACAACCCTAGCCTTTCTTGTCACAACCACAAGCCACATCTTCCAAAACCAAGAATAAGATATAATTATAGAACCAAGTTGGAGGTAAAACCAGCTTTGATAATGATGGCAAAATGAAATGCTTAATGAGAACACATGTAGGTTTCCTGAGTGGAGGATCGTCAAAAACGATGTGAAGCAATACAGTCTGATCTCCAGAGGAAAGAATGCTTTATACATATTAGATAGACAACATAAAGTAGAAAGAAAGAAGAAAACAAAACAAAGAAAAAGAGCATAGCCACAGCTTTGTTTAAGCAATTTAATCAGTGGTTTAAATCAATTTCAAAATAAATGGTAATAAAATAAAACCACAGAACAGACAATGATAGATCTAAAGAGCAACATCAACACCTGTTTTCTAAGTACTTACTATGCATGAGAGATTGTGTTTAGTGCTGTCTCCAAAGCAAATATAAGACAGCTGTTAGTTAGAGGCAGGAGTAACAATGAAGAAGCTTAGATAAATGCCAAATGGGACTTACATAAAAATAAGAGACCTGGAGGCCAACACGCAAGGAAGAAAGAGTTATGGTAAAGTGAAGAGGGGATAATTAGGGCTCAAGAGAGGATAAGGAAATAAAAACCTTGTAGCAAAAATGTAGAAAGAGCAATTTGAGATTGTTAAACTAATATAAAGGCGCCCAAATGAAACTTAATATTCTGTGGGACACAGCATAGTCACCCAAAAACTCTGACTTCTCAAGTATATGAAACTGAAATTCTAAGATCCTCAATAAGTAGACAACTGTAGGTATAGGTATAGTATATATACATGCTAAAGGAAAATTTTTTGGTTTGTTTTTTGCTTATACTCACTTTGGCCAAAAGGTAAGTTCCATTTTATAAGATAAAGAAAGATCCTCTGATATAAGTGATACAATTAATTAGAAACATCTGTGGAAGAACAATTACTTATAAAACTGTATTTCTTTTTGAGTTATTCAGATGAATTTCATTTACATAAAATAACTTTCAGAGTGTCTTATACTTAGCATGGGATGAGAATGGTCATGTGTTTACAAAATGTGAAATCAGTCTCTTTTGTTTAAAACATGCAATGGAAAATGGCAATGCTCATTTGGAAAAACTTTTATTTATGCAAATATGCATTGTACTTATGAGGTAAATAATTCTTTTACTTTCTAATGTAATCAAGATTCAATCATCTCCCAAATATTTTATTGTCCTCTTTTAAGTACTAAATGTATTTAATGCTTTTCATTCAAAATATAAATAAAATACCTATAGGAATTCTCAAGCCACTGGCTTAAAAAGTTATCTCAGTGTTCCCCATTCGTCAGTCAGTGAAATTGTTATGGCTGAGATATCTGGGCTGAGGTGAAAGTAAGCATTTGCCATTTGTGGTAGATAAAATCATAAACACCTAAAGAGGTTCATGATTTACTTCCCAAAACCTGTGAATACTTCATCATATATCACAATGATGTCTTTGCTGGAAAGCCTCAATGAAGGATTTTGAGATGTGGAGATAATCCTACATTAGCCACATGTGCCCAGTGCAAAAGCAGAATTTTTACTAGAGACAGTCTGGATGTCAGAGTCAGAACAGGACATATGACAATGACATCAGAGGTTAGAATGGTACAAAGAAAAGACCACAAACCCAGGAATCTAGGCGTCATCTCAAAACTGGAAAAGGTAAGGAAGCAGATTCTTTCCTGAATCTGCAGAAGGAAAACAACCTTGCCAACTCATTTTACACTTCTGAGTTCCAGAAAAATAAGATAATGAGTGTTGTTTCAAGTCATTAAGTTTGTGGTACTTTGTTACAGTACCAAAAAGAAACTAATGCACAATTTTCTTAAAAGACAAATCACTACCTGTACCAAGATCATCCTACTGACTGCATGAATTCTGTAGCGTATGCATGGGAAACTCTTTCCACATTATCAGAAAGGCACTGAGGACTACCATTAGACCATCCACAACCATTTGCCAGAAAACTTTCTAGGCTGAATATACCAATACAAATTAAAATTAGGACTTTAGTTTCATCCACTAGCAATGTTCTGTAAAAGACTAGATCATTTTTCATTTTGTGTTCATAAGGTTTCTGTCATACCTAAATGTTGCTCTTACACTACAAAAACAGCCACAGTGTTAAAAATCAGGATGCTGGTAGGCTACGTTCCAATAAAACTTTATTTTTGTAAAACAGCAGTGGTACAACTTGGCCCACAATCTCACTCCTAATCTAAGGTGTTAACATTAATCCTTAGTAACCAGATGAAGTCCAAAAAGTCCTCCGTAATAAAGGACTGATATTTGAAGGAGTTTGGGGCTCATAGGTGGAGCTCTTGGCCTCAGCAAAGGGAGAATCTTGGAAATTCTACATCACTATAACAAAAGATTTTAAAACACGAGTGTGAGAGGTGTGACTATAGATAAGAAATGCATTTATCACAGAGTCTAGCTAAGGATAAGGGATAATCTAAAAGTGCTGCAAAGACATTCTTGCAGCATTTCCTCTCCTCTCTCCTTCCCACCAGCTTCATCTCAGATTTTCTTGGATAAGAGCATTTTCACCCAGAAAATTTTTCATTCTTTATGTTGCTATGGTAGAGCTTACCTTCATCTCCTAGATTGCAGTTTGGCCAACCTGTATAAAATTTTTAGCTTGTGTATTTTGTACCTGAGAACATATGAAATTTTCCAAATCCAAATATCTTTACACAATGAGAGCATCTCTTATTTTATAGTTCAGAGAAAATAATACATTGCAACAGTAAAAAAATATTAAGGGAAAATCTTTGTGTAATAAATTAATTTATTAATAAATAAATCTCAATAATTTTTGCTACTTTATCTTTTGCTCAAAAAGTGTCACATACAGTGTTCAAAATAAGTGCAAAATTCTCATTTTAATTTCAATCACTATTTTAAATCCTTGGAGTCATTCTGAAAGATAACATCCAAATTGTGATGAGTTATCTACTCATCTGCTCTGCTTCTGAGTGTTACTCTACCATTTTCCATTCACCCTTGAGAGCAAGTCAATCCTCCGGTGAAAAGACAGCATCATTTATAACAAGTTCCCAAGAACAGTATTTATCTCATAGCTGGACAATGGTAACTTTTCCAATGATTTTTCTATTTATGTCCTAAAGTGGCTGCCTGGAGTTTTAGTTCTCTAATATGATACTAAACAGAGAGAAAGCTTAAAATACATGAAAGAATAAATGCACTTCAGAGTCTGAGATATTTGCCAACGCACAGAAAAGAGAAATCTCTATGTTTTCACACATTACAGTGATGTCAGGGAAAGTGCAAACTTGCAAGACTGAATTGGGAAAGATCTGAGGCTGTGCCTTTATCACAAAGAAATGTTGAAAGGTTCACAAATGTCCAAGTAGTCCTTTTAGATTAAAACTCAACTGCAATGACAGACATTTAATACAGAAATCAATAGACTTGGGCTGATTGAAATGAGGAATTGAATCCTAATTAAAAAAGTGTGTGTGTGTGTGTGTGTGTGTGTGTGTGTGTGTGTATAAAAGCATATATGTGATTAAATATACCCACATATATATGATTACATATATAGATAGACTGATTGATTGAATAATACTTACTAAAATTCTTCATCGAGTTTTAAGGGAATTATTCTAAACTACTAACAGTAACTAAAGGTGATTTTCAGTCACTATGTACTCCTAAATACCTTTTAGCAAGTAAATGTAACTTTCATAAATGAAAGATTCACATTAGTTAAAAACTTCTCTACTTTTCAAAAAAAAATATGGCTCTGTGTAATACCTCTTCAGATGACCTTCTAAGAAAAGGCTATAAACAGAAAAAATAACTGTAAATGCATGCCCTTTGTTTGTTAGGAAAAAAATAATCTCTCATATTCTTAATCTTCCTTGTGCCAAGAGAAAAGACAGAGTAAATGAAAATGGGGCAGAGAGGACAGGAAGCCAGCCACAGTGGAAAGGAAAACTATGTTTTCAGGTTGGCTTCTTCTGTCTTCCCTACTCTCTGGTCCAGAAATTTTCCTCCTCACCTAACACTATTGGGTTATTTTCTGACTCCCCATCTTAAAGGTCTGATGAATGTTTTAAGAATTAAAA